ATAGGCTAAGCTCTGACCTAGAAGGGCACTGATAATACAACCGCTGCCATGCTAAGTTATCACCCAATTGAGGCAAACCAAGCTGGCCAAAATTCAACCTATTATAGATATTTGCTTTAAACTAGACTGCAGGGTTTGATATTTTAAGGGCAACAACACAAAGATGCTCAATATAAGCTGCTGATTTAAAAACAGGCTTTCAGTCTCCTAAGAACGGGGGAAGGAAACCTTTTCTCCTGCCATTCTGCACCAATGATTTCTGAACTAGGCTTGCCACTGACCTGTGCAAGAAATTGAGGAATGAGTCAAGCAGTTAGATCTACACGGAGCTGGCTGTGCTTTAGCAGCATACTGCTTCCTAGCTGTGAACAAGCTGGAATATACATCTACAGGCACAAAGATGCTCCCTTCAGCAGCTKGCCTTTTTGCCTTTAAGCCAGAAAATACTTTTTTCCTTGCAAAAAACACAAGCRTGATTTGTCTAGATTTTACTGAATATCTGGATTATTTTTAAAGCCTCAGTTCTGCTCTAATATAAAGCAACTTGCTGATGCTTGGAGAGCAAGCCTTGAAGATGATGTATTTAGAAAATAGTCTGCTAAATTCTGCAAAAGTTGACAGAAATACGATGCTAGACTACTGTGGTAGTAGTAATGATGGATAACTGATTTTAGATAACAACTTTAATTGCTCTAGGAATATACCTTACCAAAAGACAAAATGTCAATGACCAATATTATATTCAGAAGAAAAATATTTCAGTTTTGTTTAATGTTATTTGAGAACACAGAGAAATAATAAGGAACACATTCAACTTATTATTCTCTTTCTGGGTCAGTTTGATAGAAATGAAATCCCATTAACAGCGGGACCCTTCAGTAAAGATATTGCTCCAAAAGAAACCATACATTTAGAACATAAAAAAGAAGAAAAAGTGGTGTGGAGAGAAATCATCTTACATTTCCTGCTCCTACCATACCTATTTTTTTTCTCCATATATAAATATATATTTATATTAAAAAAACAAAACAGATCTTCTCTGCCCTAACAGAAGATGCTAGATGCTTTTCCAAAATATCTTAAAAACTTTTATCACTGTTAACAGCATTAATATCTAAATATTATCATTGTTAACAGCATCCTAACAGAAGATGCTAGATGCTTTTCCAAAATATCTTAAAAACTTTTATCACTGTTAACAGCATTAATATCTAAATATTATCATTGTTAACAGCATTAATATCTAGATAGGAACTCAGTTTGGGCTGTACTGAAGACCACACTGCATCATCAGCAGGTGTAAGTAAATCATCCTTACAGCAAAGTTCCTTAGCTTGACCACAATAAAGCCAATTTCATAGCAGTGGAAAACTGGAAAATGTTTTATAAGGTCAGGCAACTCTAGAACTGATATCCTGAAAGGGAGGGAAACAGAATCTGAACAACTAACAGTAAACTGAAGTATTTCTCCAATATCTGTTAAGGTTATTGCTTTAATATTTTGAATGAGAACTTTAATAAGAATTCAGAAACTTCTGTTAAACTCAAAACAATGCACACACTAAGACTTTTAGTCCACCACAAAACTAGGTAACATGTTCTACTCCTCATTCCCAAAGTCATATCTTAAGATGAATTCCCTTTATTTATTTTTGAGGCTGTAGTTAAGACAATTAAAAACAAAACAACAAAACAATTGTCTGCACTATTTGTCCACCCCCCCTTTTTTTCATTCAAATTGGTATTTGCATATGGTAATCTCAGCTGAAAAACGGTTAACTCTATGAATATTAAGCACTACTAGCTCTATTTCGTTAGAAGAAATTGATATTTTCTAAAAAGGTCAGGTTTTAGTGATTGTGGACATTATTATTTGAAGCTTACTATTGCATAATTAGATTTAAATATGTTAAAGTACAGTAAAACTATATCATATTGGATTAAATTGCTATATTTAAACTTCTAATTATGCTATTGTTAAAACAGTCATCTGAGATGCCTTACACCTATCACTGTCAGTACTTAAAAGCAAGAGAAGAAATGTAATCAAAACATTATGTTTTATATAATGAATTAATCATTCACTTGGCTTTCAACTGCCTTTGAATAAAATGTTTCATGACATAACTTTACCTTCAATACAGTTTAACTAATAAATGCTTTTAAATGAGTAGAATAATTGCAGGTTACCAATTGAAATACAAACATTTCTTTGTGTACATTTATGCCAGAAAGGCTTTATGCAAATGAATAAAATATATTTCCATGTAAATGCTGCATTTAAGGTATTTGACAATAACTATGATTAAATTTTAATTGATCAAATATGAACCATTCATGCCCATTTTCAACATTTTTAATAAGTGGACAATTTATGCATTCACAGTTTGACATGCATGAGCATTATACAGGGAAGAACTTTCATTGTGAAGCTGTATATCGTGCCTGCAATAAAGCAAATGCACAGCTYGTTAGGTAATTCAGAGCTACAGTTTCTTTCAAAATATTTTTACCAGATATTGCATAGTAGGAAAAGGAAGGGCAAAGAACAAACTGTTAAGAAAAATAGGTGTGTATTTAAAAATATTGCTGAACTCCTAGGTACATTTTGATTGCATAAAACTTAGTAATTTTGTACCAACACCTATRGATAATGTTATTGAAAAGAAAATCCTAAATTAGAAAATGTTTTACCTTTCAGACCTTGCAAAATAATACTTTAATATACGAATAAAACATTGTTGTATTTTTAATGCTTTAGATTTCATACATCTTGATATACAAAAGGCATTCATGTTTTATGGCAGTGTTTTTCATATKGTCAATTGTGGTGAGATCTGTTCCTCCCACCTCTGCATCAGAAGGGTTCCCCTGTAGTATTTCTGAAGACACTTTGAAAGGCATTTTGTTTACTTTTTATCAAGTATAAGACCATTTAGCTAAAATTTGTCCAATTCAGAGTTAAGAGTTAAGTGCTAGTGAACTTCACAGTGGTGGAAATATCAAAAGGTTATTGCTCCCTCTTCATCTTCGGCATTTTAAATATTACTGTCATGATCACACAAACACAGGCAAAAGGGAGGTGAAAATGTTTAAGGCCGTTATACAGAACCTTGACTTCATGGCATTTTCTGTTATCTGTCCATAGCCTGGTAGTGAAATATTTTATGTATTAGGAGTTATAACTCCTACAAAAACCTATAAAATCAAGCAACTTTGTGCCTGTTTAATTTCTCAATTCTTTTGGAAATAGGAACCCGCATTAAGATGTTTTCACATTTTTTTTTTCATTGCAATATCAAATCTAAAGCATACATCAGTGCAAAGGCATCATTCGCTATAGAGAAGACAATACCCCCTTCATTCTCSCAAAAGAATCCTACCAGTACATGTGCAAAACCCTGCAAGACTGAAATAAAGATGGACATAGTACGGAGGATACTTGTTTAGTTCAATTCTAATATTTGAGATGACTATTTTTATAACCTTAAATGGAGCATCAGTGGCAAGTAATTTCACATATTCCATTACAATTCAAATAAAAATTTAAAAAATGGCATTAACASCATCTACTTTAAGGTCAGCAGGTCAAGAGCAGCATTTGTTGTCAGAATATGACCATCATTTAAAAATACATACTACTGTAAATCATACTTGTTATGTATATTAAAAGATKAGTTATATATTCTGATATTGTATATAACTTTTATAAGCACATATTTAAAATTAAGAAACATAAATAGTAATAGGAATATAGGTAACCTTCAACAGAAGCAAACCAAAAAATCAAGTACTTCTGTGAGAGAAATACATGTGGAAAGAGATGCTCTAAATATTTTCTTACYATTCCCAAGTTTTCTTCTTAGCTTTTACACTTCTTAAACTATTAATTACAAATCCTGCCAACTGCAAGCAATGATTTTGAGACCTGAGCACAGCAGTTTCCAAAAGACACTTTAATAGAAAAGGACACAAATGATAACAGAAAGAGCTTTTGTTAAATAACCAGCCAGCAGGTGCAGATTCTTCAGTACCCACTATTCCTCACGTGGAAAAAGCCTCCAGGCTCTCTCAATAGTCTCTCAAACAACATTTTTTTTTGGTTGCCCATGTACAACAGGCAGCATGCACGTGTACAACATATTCCATGTTAGTTTTTTAAAGAAAGCTTCCCGAACAAAATATGCATGTCCAGTATTATTCAACCTTTGGAGTAACTGAGGCACAGAGAGATTGAGTGACATGATGCTGTTCAGAAACGTAAGGAGCCCAAATCAGAATTTTAGTCTCTTGCCTTCCAGTCCATGCCCAATTTAGCATGAGGATAAAATGTCAATATATGACAAACCCTCTGGGGTAAGTAAAATCTGGAATGCAGTATATTTGGATGAACACAAAGCCACACACATTTCAACCTACAGAAGTTTTCTAGGTCAACAAKTAGAGGTTTTGTGTTTCAATTAGCAAAACTTTAAAATCAATAAATAGTAACCAGATACTTTTTCTCCACCTAGAACTAACCTAACTTTGAAGAAAGGACCAAGCCTGCAGAAGAGAAGGTTCTGCAATTTAGCATACCCTACATTCACTTCTCAGGTATCTCAGCTATCTACTGGAAAAAACAAAAACACAACCTTTTGGTAACATGAGAGATGCATATTGTACAGCTGTGGCAGTTTCTATAATGAAACTCCAAATATAAGTGATAATATCCACAATACAAACAATAATTCTAAAATATATCTGAAGGTATGTGTGTGTATATAGATATCTATCTAACAAGAAAATTGTCTGATTTTCTTTTATACACATATACATCTGGATAATATGCCCCACAATTTTTTTTTCCTTTTTTTAGGATTAATATTTAAATAACAGTTCTAAACAATTCCTTAGATTCTATTTTTAAAACACTTACAAATGAAGAATTATCTTAGGGTAATCAAAAACACACACGAAATAAATTAACATCACACAAATGTGGTTATATTGTTCCAAAAGTCCAATTCTCCCATCTGAAATGAAATGGAGACCAGTGTACCTTAGGGTAAACTATTTACCAATGTACAAATTCATTCRCTCTTTCCCTGAATTCACGCAAATTCAACTGTATTTCCACAAAGGAAAGAACCAGTAAATCCGGAGAACTCTTGCAAGAGGAAGCTGTGTTTCACTGGRTAGCCACAACACAGCTTCTGCTGAAAGGCAGCAAATCAACATTTTATCATTGTCTCAACACTAGAAACACCTGTGCCCTTGTAAGCTTCACACCTTGAATTAGCAGCAACATATTTAATGGGTTCAGTAGTAATTTTTTCCTCCCGTATTGGATTAGGCTACTTTGCATATACAATAAGTAAAAGAGTCTTGTACTTGTGTGCAACATTAATCCACATTTACATCTGAAAACTCATAAATACACATGGAAACAAAGGTAAAAAAAGAGAATTCAACCTCTTTTTCAGTTAAGATGCTTTCTGTTCATAAATAGAAAAAGCACTGAATGGAAGTATAAAAGGGAAAGGCAGCAGAAACAGAATAGCAGTACAGTAACTAATGCAATAAACACAACATGTAAACTGTACCACCTGCATAAATGCTTAAATGCAGCATTATTTTGCACATCACATACAGTAGATGTGACTTCTAAGCAGCATATTAAAACAGCTGGCATACTCTCTAATAGATTTATGGGACCTGACTACTTAATTTCTCCAGCTGTCGATGTAGAGTAGCTATGCATTAGCCTTTGAAGCTCTTCATCAGCCTTTTAGAAGCAAAGGTTATATTTTCATGAACATTTAGTGTCCAAACATGAAAATTATGAGGAACTTCCATGACCTTCCACACTATACAAAGATATTAAATACTTCCTTAAACTGGACCATTTCAATACTACTGTTTTTCTTTTTGTATTTTAAAAAGAAACATTGGGACCTTTGTAACTTCTAAAGTTAAGGTTTTTTTTAAGGCAGCAAAGAGATAAGATATGTATTAAGGTTTCCATGACAAGGTTTATGGTGTCTATGTGAATAAAGCATATTACACACAATTGCTCTCATATTTATCTACATGATTTCTTTAGACTGTACATGATATTTTTAGGATCTTGAGAAATTTAAAGTGCCACAGTTCAGATGTGCTCCTCTGTTGTCTCATGGGCTTCRAGTCCATTCTAGTTGCTTTGATAAACAAGCCCTTGCTTCATTAAAAACAAAATAAAAAAAACCCAACAAATGAAGTCTTTTTAGGGGAAGAGAATTCATCCTTCACTGCTGTGCTAACTGGAATCCAGTGGTCGAACTAATCCTTCTTTGTAAACACGCAGAATAGCTTCACAAACAAATTTGTATTGACTCTGCATAAAGAAAAGAAACGAACAAAAAATTAATGTTGATTAGTTGAAGTATTGATTACACATCAGTACTTAACAGGCTTAATGGCACTAACAGTGCATTTGCCTCATTTTGTCCTGCACAATGTTTCACAATGGACAGGAGATACACAGAAAGAAAATTCAACTTGTGAGAGCATTCACAGGAGGCAAAGGTAACATTGGCTCCTCTTTGAATGACAAGCATTAAAATTCATCCTCCAAAGAAAACACAAGGTATGAAAATAAAAAAGAAAATATGYTTAAATCCCCGGAAAAAATAGGACTCACTTGTAAAAACCATGCAGACTTATGCATCTCTTCTCACTTTATTCTAACTACTTACTTATTTCAGAGCTTTTTATACACTTATCTAAATTGTAATGTGATCATTACAATGTTCAAATATTATCCACATACCATTATCTGTTGCATGACTGGAAATGTAATTAAAATTTTCAGATAGAATATACTGATCTACACCCTACTGATGCACTAAGTCCCAACTCCCTTGGCTATACTGTTACAGAGGACAGTGATTTTATATTTGTGATCAGACCATGCACCTTCCCCTTTTGTAATAGGAAGTGACCAAAACCACTCGTGTATTTTTCAAGGACAGCTGCTGCCACCCATTTTCGAGCTCTTCTACTTCTTATAAATCATCTCCACAAGTGGTATAAATGTTTTGTTTCTACTTTAGACTACTGCACTTTTTCTCCCAATTTTCTGTGACTGGTTAAAAAACATCTGATCCTCTTTCTGAGGAGGATGTTACAAGACACAGCAATACAACTTATAGAACTGAAAACCCACGTAGTCTGAGTATTTATGATTAAAACAAAATCCCAGAAGCAAGCAGATGATGATAGAAATTTGAAAGAAYTTTCAACAAAGATATAGGCCAGCATGTCCTGTCCCCAGAAAGTACTTTTGACCATGAGTTCAAACCCCCAAAKGAACACCTCTCTCAAAGAGCTAATTGCCACAAATCCAATAAGTGGGGCAACAATTTTTTTAAAGACCCTTTTTACATCTTTGAAACATTCTCCCAGCTGCTCTCGGATGACCAGGCACAACTGGAAACAACCCTACCTCAGTCTCTCCCAAGGACAGGGCTAACAGAGGATGCCTGTACTGTGAAGGATCTTATGCTACAGTTAAATAATGTGGCTGAGTACTATTCTTGTCTATAATCTGCATTCCATGTTCTCCTCACTACAGAAAAACTTTGGAAAAACTTTAGGATTGAAATTAGTTTTCTGCATCTCAATTTTCCTGCCTTTTCTTTCAGCCTTTCATTCAGTTTCTCCCACCTCCAATACCACCTTGCTCTTTTGTCTCTATTTCTTAATTATCTTGACTTTTCCCTTCATTGTTATTAGCATTTACATACACCTATTGCCTGAACAAGGTGACTGTGATGCTTAGCGCTCTGTTTATTACTTCTGTTAATTCCTTTGTGCGATTGGGTTATTGAACAAATCAAAATGAAAAGCTTCAGCATCCCTTCCTCTGACTCAGCCTCTGACTACTTGTTTTCTTTGCTGCCGTTGCCCGTGTTCTTACTGCTAACTCCACTGATAAACTAGTTGTATTATAYAGGACTGACTGCATTCCCTTCCACACTAGTTTCTCCTTAATGAAACGTAATAGTTACTTTAAAAAAAATGTTATTTTTAATAAAGGGCTGTAAAGTTTTTGCTGTAGACAAATGTTGCTGCAGCTTTGTTTTTGGTCACAGTTTTTCATTTGTTGTTCCCAATGGCATCATTTTGCCAAACTGCAGGTCTTCCACATGGTTCTGAGCGGACACTGAACAGACCTGTTACTAGCCCTGCTGAGSCTGCAGGTGCTGAGCACACGCTGCMCCGTGTCAGCCCAGGGCATGGCCTGGCTCCGGGCATCTCCTCCGACAYGGAGCACCGGCTCGAGCCCCTGGAGCAGCTGCCCGTGCTGCAAGCCAGGCTGCCACAGCTGAGTAGTCCCTCGGGGCTCTCTCTGCTCAACACTGAACAGGAGCAGTGGGGCTGGCTGAAACRGCAGCACGGGAACGCAAAAGGGCGCTCCAGAGAGACTGATTTGCTCAAGTGCAGCTCTTTAGTATTCTGCTTTCGCACAGGCAGTGCTTGCTCCTGTGCCTCCCTTATAGCACAGGCTGCAAACTCTGCTCACAGGCTTTGCTTTTTCTCACAACAGCATCTGCAGGCTTCAAATGCCACCAGTTAATTTAGTTTCACGATACTGTTGCTATATACCATCCTTCTCCCAGTTGTAGTGACCTGTCAAGCATGCAAGGCAAAGAAGAATCCAATTTTGTATGTTCAGTTTCCACACTCCCAGCCTGATTTGCAGTGTTTTTATTGCTACACTCTGTATCCTTTTATGTCGAACAAAATGGGTTTAAGGAGTATTTCTGCTGACTTCAGTTGTAAGTGGAGGCACTTGGCCTTCTGGCAAGCTCAACTTGACTTCAGGTACCAATGTCAAATTCTCAAAGACATGACCAGACCACCTCCAGCAGGGAGGCTTGAAACCTGCTCACTTCCATTTCAGAAGCTGACAAGTGGACAAATGAAGACAATTCCACAAGAAAACACGCAGCTTCCTTCACCCTGAGGCTGYGCCTTCCCCATCTCAGGGCACCCTCACCAGCTCAACAACTTCTGCTCCTGCAAGAAGCGTGAACTTCCATGCARGAAGCATGAAGAATCCAGACAACTCTCTTCTCAACCATAAAGCCCAGACTCACTTCCATACAGTGCCTTTACTATACTGCAGTGAGTGACAACAGTCCCAGTGCGCATGAATAATCCTCCTCACAGTACAATCTAGTTACTCAAGCAACCGTATCTTCTGAACCCTTCACACTCTATGATGTTTTCCCAATGAAAGGGTGTTTTTTTTCCCTGATCAAGCACACAACTAACTCCTGCAGTTGTGAACTTAATACTAAATAGAGATTTTTTTTTTTTCAAATTACCTTCTTCCTTCCTCTGAAGTGGAAACAAAGGCATTTTCCTTTGAAGATCAAAGGGACAAGCCTGATAGACTTAACTATATATTTTGTATGTCAATACCCTTTTATTCCCAAGTGTCCCTGATATTTACCTCTCTGAAATAACTTACGCTTCATGTTTCGTGTTACTCCATTTCTCCTCAAGAAAGGAGAGGAGGAGTCCTTCATACTAGTTGGCAATATGCTCATTTCCAAAGCTGACACAAAACTGCTCCCCATATTTTCAAAAATTGTCTAATTGACAATTGTCAATTGTCTTTGAGCTACCTCTATCTTATACCTTCTATTTTCAGATTTTTCCTGATTAATTCTGAATTTCTCTCTTGCTCTTGCTTCTTCCAAATTAGAGGCAAAATTAAGAAAAATATTCTTTTTATTAAATTTCTACTCCTACTCTCAAAAAACCATTTTATATGAAACTTAAGACTAACAACAATCTCTATAGAAAGAACAAAAATGAAAGTATTACTTTATTTTCTTGGGTAACCTTTAGCCTTAAGACCATGAACATGTGATTTGGAAAAGTCTGATTTTGTACATAAAGCTAGAAATGAACAATCTTTTAGTGGCCAGGTATAAAACATTTAGAAGTTATACAGCACCTCATCATCCCAAAGCCTTTTCAGTCAGATTASGTTTAACATTAATTGTGAGAAGCGGGAAATATAATGGTAAGTGAAGACCTCAACTACATCATTTTAAAGATTGATGCATCTGTTTAGACTGGATAAATGCAGTACTATGCAGAACTCCTCCCCTCCACTTACTGATGTTTGGACCATCATAGCTCGCTGGTCTCGCATTTTTCGTACAATATCCAGTGGATAAACAGGTTGGTTTCTTTCAATTAAGCACATGGCTGTTTCCATAGTGACCAACACTCCAGTACGACCGATTCCAGCACTGTGAAATGGAACAGGAAAAATAGCTTCTTAAACGATTTTTTGCAAGGTACCAGGTTCATATACAGTCTTAATATTATGAAGCTAAGCAGCCTTAGAAATAAGAACTTTAAAAGATTAGAAAAAAGCACAAACTTTTTTAAAGCAACTTCAGTAATATTACCTGACAGCAATTACAAATGTAAATTTTATGTAAATAAAATGTAAAATACCTCTTAAAGTAAATGATTTAAGTTACAACTGCCTACAAGTCTAAGTATACTGTTTTTATGTTTTTCATTAATAAAAGGTAAGAGCTCATTGATTGCTTTTTGATGGCTACTTAAACAGCAAAACAACTTTGCAATATCRCACACAATAAGATTACTGAGATACTACAATATGAAAATGCAGAGAAAGTTCTTTACTACATTACAAGTGATGATTTGTGATGTTTATCTAATGCAGCAATTTCACCAAAAGTTCACAGGAGTGAAAAGAAACTCGTCCTTTAGATATGTAAAAGATACATCCTTTAGCTGGAGACACTGGTATCTCCAGCTCTAAAATTTTCATCTAGCTCAAGAAATCCTGCTGCCTTGCAGAGACACTTTCCATAGCAAAATTTTATTCTAAGGCTAAACACAATGTGTATCAAAATTTTATACCACAAGTACCTGCAGTGAACAAGGACYGGCTCATTCTTTACTCTCTTTGGTCTCATGCAGGTCACGAACTCCAAGAAGTCCATGGAGTCATCAGGAACACCATGATCAGGCCAGGCCACGTACTGCAGGTGGGTGACTGCATGTTGTTGTTCTGTCTAAAATACAGTAAGGTTCAAAAGGTGTTCAGTGTTATGGCTCAACTGATGCTCACTAGAAATATATCAAAGTAAATTAGTTTTGCCAAAGCTATATAGAGAGATTCACATGAGAAAGAAAATTTAAATTTAGGGCAAAATATAATATAATAGTTAGAAAACATASCAAGGGCATATACTGTTTATTAATTAGCAAGTTAAATCAAAACCAACTCCTTACATATGAGCAGATTTTCAGTTTTTTTAAAGTACTGAGTGTTGTCATTGATGATTCACCTGAGGTAAAACAATACAGCACCTATGCCTAGCTGTAATATACAATTTTAGAACACGCTGGAAGAAGCAGCTGTTGTAAAACACAGAAGAAATATTCAGAACAAAGACAAAATAACAGGGCCTCTGGGCTACTTATTCTCCTCCTTGAAAGAAGTGTCACCTCAACAGCTTAATTATTATTTTTTTTTTTAACATTTCTTCAAGAAAGGAAAAATATACATACACATATCTATACATTTAGAAACGCTATGCTGGTATACTAGTCAATGCTTGAAAGAAGCAAGACACCTGATCATTATCTGCAGCACATTAAGCCTTCCCATAAAACAAGCTTGATTGAATGTCCCTTTTATCTCATGCTGCTAACCAATTAAATCAAGGAAATACAGTTCTAAACATGCATATGTGCACTTCCAGATACAGTTAAAATAAAAAGTTGCTTGCAACATTTGCTAAGCATGGTTTCTGACAAAACAGAATATACATAAATATGATTTCTATAGCACTTACAGAAGTATATTTGCCTTTGACCTGATTTAAGTGCTTGCAATTTCYGTCTTTCCTATCAAACAAAGCAGGCTCATTTTGGATTTAGCTTCTAGATCATTACAAGAACCTACAATCGATGGGATCTCTCCAGAAGTATGCCCTTTATCTACTCAGTTTTGTCTCCCATTTTACAGCTAAGCTTGTTGAAATGATCACCACTTTCTTCAACTTTGTTGAAACCCCAGATAGATTAAAATATATAAAAATATAACAAGAAAATGTCAAAAAAGCCCTCCACTGCACATCTGTGAGCGCTCAYTCAGAACCTCTCCAAAAGGAAAATGAGATAATGCAACAACTGCGTGCTACAATTACAGCTGATTCTCTTAAATTAGAAGCTCTGAAGTCCACGTGAATTACAGCGCACAGGTGAGACACAGGCTTGACTCACACTCTAATCATCCCCAAGTCAGCATCGAGTCACCTCCTCTGCACATGAAGAACTTTGAGCCATATATTACATATATTACAGGAGAGGGCCAGTGCCACACAGAGATCTAAAAAGAACTGACAATAAATGGCAAATGCCATTTTACAAGCTCAAAAAGAAAAAAGAGGAAAGAGTSAACCATTAATCTTCACCTATCCCAACTCCAGGTTTGAATGCAGTGAAAGCTGCATTTTCTCAAATAGCTCAAACACAAGGAATGAGCATGTTACATAAGAGCTCCTTAGAATAAGGACGTATTTTAAGAGCATGCTGTTAAGAGTCTTCTGAACTACTACTTTTAGTGTGATCAGATATACCAGTGATATACCWGATCAATTTCTGGTATATCTGCTATTCATTCCCAGAGACAAATGCATTTTGTTAAATATTCTAAGTGTTCCTCAAGCTTCAGGACTGTTTTCTAGTTATTTCTGTTTTAATCACTTTTGATTCTTTTGGCTGAGGTTTTCTAAGTTGATTCATATTCTTAATACTTGATCACCACATCATTAGCTTTTCAATTTGCCTAAGGTATTTTAATACCTCTTTTTATATTAATAAGCCAAACCTCTGTTGTAGATGCAAGAAACATAGTTATATGTTAAAACTAATTCTAATTACTAAAATRTTTCTATATTTCATGCACAAGTGGCAAAAACATTATCATGACATACTCTAAACATTTTTAATAACAGTAACAGCTTCATCTTTYAAAATAAAAACTCTTTAGGATTTTATTCTCAATGAAAGTTAGTTTTTGTATTCACAAAATCTGTCAAGCAAACAACGTTACACATGGAAATAACTTGCATTAAAAGACTACCACTGTTAACAAAATCTAGCGCTCATAACTTTGAAAAAAAGGAACTAGAATTATACTTATTGTTAGCCCAAATGTACACATTTTATTATAACGGTTACTAGAGATAGGCATAGTTATTTTAAAAAATGCTTGTTCTACCAGATCCTGTTTCTTTGTACACATCTGGTAATGGAAAATGAAGAGGTGGCTTCTCAGCTTCATCCATTCAAAATGGTTCTCCCAACCATTACTATGTGCTCAACTCATCACCACAACAGATTTATTTCCCAGTAAGATTTTCAGTAGTAGTCATTTCTGTAGCATCCTGATGACTAATAAATGCAGAGTTTATCATTTTAAAATCTGCCTTTACTATTCCCATTTTCTAAGTCTAAAAATACAACAAAGCAAGACACCAAAAATTGTTCATTGCCTAATAATGTTTTCCTCACCATGCACATTGGGCTCCAAAATCATTTAACATTTTTGGCATTTCACACGGGCTAGTTTCAATTGCATTTGCATGTTTTGCATTTTCACAGATCAGCTTCCATATGGTGGATCCCAAAAAAGTTTCAACGACTTACAGCCTCCAGTGACACTTCTGTGCTATTGCAGTTGCCCCAATTTATAGTTAGTCATGTGGGCAGCATTTATCTGCTTCAGGGCATTGACCCCCATTCACTTTGCAGGCAGCTGCAGAGGTGCGAGGCATCGTACCTGTCCCAAACTATTTGTCACTGTCCTTCTAGTAATGCTTACTGCTGCTGCAAAGATGTCAGCTAGAGAAAATACTGACTTGTAGCTATCATTTGGGTACAAATTTAAGATGTCTTACTGCRAGCTCAGCTTCATTATGGGCTCTGCTAACATCCTGGATTTTGTTGGAAAACAGCCAAGGTAAACTGGCCAGATTTATGTGGATTTCTTTGGAAAGCAAAATATACCAGGTCTCGTTCAATGTGGAAAGCCAAGAGKTTCAGTGAAACCATTTAAGATAATCTTTAACATGAGCAAAAACAAACCATTGTGTAAAATGATTTGGAAGGAGGACAAATGGCACAGGAAGTCTCATCCCAGACTGCTAAGCTCTGTCAAAATTAGGAAAACCCTATTTTCATTAACTCATAGCAGAAAGCACTGGCAGTCTAGTCACTAACATTGATGCCTCTGATTCAGCCAGCACAGTCCCTAGAAGGCCTTGCATATTGCTTATACTGAACAAGAAATCCAGTCAGTCTGGTAATTTTGCATCCCTTTAGCAAACAGCAAYGCTAGTAAAATGAATTTTAATGGGTTTGAATTGGTGAATCTCTTTTCTTCTCCTTCAAACCATCATCTCCATCATTGTGATGTCCTCAAAAGTAATAGCCTGTAAATTAAAAAGAACCCTCTCTCCCAGCCTCCTTGCATTTGCATTCTTACTGTCTGAAGCATCACACTGAACAGTCTACACTATGACCCAAGGAACTGCTGTAATTCATCATCTTCTCTTGGATTACTTGTAAGGTGTCAGTGCTCTCCCTTCTGGTGGCTCACTCATTATAGCAATGGTAGAATTCGTTTTTACAGGATGAAATTAGATCAGTTTTTAAACATCTTGAATTCTTTTACTTGCGCTTGAACCATTTATTTTAGTTAATAAAACAAATCAGGTGGAAAGATGACAGAGCACTTGTGGGTGCTCTGTCAATGTAAGATGTGGCAGGGAAAAAAAAGAAAAAAAAGAAGAAAAAAGAAAAAAAAANAAAAAAAAAGAAAAAAGCCTGCAATGCTCCTGACAATTCCTCAGGTACTGTAACACCTGTAACAAGTATTGCCTTGGCAGCTGCTGTAAGTCACACAAATCAACACAAACAGTTGTTTAAAAACGGGGAAAAACAAGAAAAAAAGAAAACATTCAAACATCGGTGAATGAAACTGGGTATCAATGATATGCTGCAAGGCAATAACTTTGAAGGAAATGGAATGAAAGCTTCTTGTTCTGGCCCTTGGTATTCTCTCTCTCTCTCTCTCTCTTTTTTTTTTTTTTTTTTTTTTTTTTGGGGTGACTTATCTTCAACTACAGGTAAAGCAACATAACTACAAATTGGGTCAAAAAAAAACCAAGAAAGTTTGTTGTTTCCTAAGTCTTCTAAATACACATGAATAAAAGCCTAAAGGCCTCATTTCACCAATTTCTCTCTATTTTTCTCTACAAGCAAATTTGGAAATCCGTGTACCTTAATGTGCAGGAAGATCTTCCAAGAGTATGCTTTTTCAAGAAAAATAAAGTCTCTTGCGACACTTTCAGAACTTTATCAATCTTGCTTGCTTTCATAAAGACCAATCCAGTGATGCTGACATTAGCTCAGAGAATAACAAAATYACGGGTTGAAAGCAGGTGACTTTTCCTGTAATCTTCAAACACTACAACCACATTTGCAGGACACAAAGTTCTGTAAAGTCTTTTCTTAATTACAGGAGTCCCCCTGGGAGAATCTTTGGTCAGCTTTAGAAAAGCAGCTCAAATAACCACACAACTGGGAGATACTTTAACACTGCAGGAAATTCTCTAACTCAAGCAAATGGCACCCCCCTTCAAAGCACCCACTCAGGACTGGCTTTATCAAACATAAAAATCATGCAATTATGTCAATGAAGACACAATCTATACAAGCAAGTCCTCCCTCTAGAAAAAGTGTTCAACTGTTTGTTAGCATAAGAATTTACAATGTACATATCCTCATCTGTGATTTTCACATCTATAAACATGTTAAGCTAGCAACACTAAGCTCTTGCACAGTCTTTCTCAAAAGGAATTTACTTGTGTGCAAAAGACCTTATTGCCTTATTCACATTAGAGCTTTTCATTATCACATACCTGAAATAAAAACACATACTCAAAGCCTGGTAGACTTACTCAAAATTATTGAACTATTTGATAAATACTAACCCAGAAACACTATTCGAATAGAGATACATTTGTGAGAACAAGTATTTAAGGAGAGTCTAGGCTAAAARTTACAAAACATACATTAAATGAGCTAAGTTGAGTGGGAGGGAATAGAAGTTTTGCCAAGTATTCTCTGTAGTACTGCTTTCATGTATGCTTCTTCAGTGTCAGCATCCAAATCAGCAAAAATAATCAGCCAATTCCAAATCAGCAATCTGAATTTTATTAAGACAAAAATTGGATGAACTGTCAAGTGGCAGCTATAAATTCATGAAACTAAGAGACTGCCATCTTGGTATAAGAATGTTGTCTAGCAATGTTACATTTCAAAACTAGTCTCTTCTTTTTAATTAGTGGCAGCAACTCCAATAGCTAAAATATGCTTAATAAAATATGCATTAACAAATTGCATAGAAATCAGAAAGAGGAGTGGCCAATGACTAATACAGGAACTCTGTACTAGCATTTACCTAGTACACTGTGATTTCTTATGCAGATACGATAGCACAAAGCTTCCCCTTTTTCAGAAGACATATTGTTATGACAGAATTTTGGAAAAGAAATAAAGAGAGAAATAGTATAAGAAATGTAGGACAGCTTGGGAACATAAGCCTCAACCTCTGAAACTCCAGTTTTGATAGCCTGGATGTGATGCAAACAGATTTCACGAGCTCATCTGTAAGAAGTATTTTGCATACTCCATGTGGCCTTTGCTTTATAACTTTTTCACTAGAATAAAATACTAACAGCTAAAGAATGCAAGTATCTTATATAAATTGACTACAATCACGCTGAGATAGATAAAAGTTTCTTCTTTTTAAACATCTGACTAAAGATGATTAAAAGGAGCTGGTGAGACTCTCCATCTTCTCTCTAAATTATTACAATTCACTTTCCTGCTAGCTATTTTATCCACATGTGCCACTAACCTAGTGACCCATATAGTTACATAGCAAACAACAGCAACAAYAAAAAAATCCAAAATACCACTCTTCATTCAAAACCTAAATATCAGTGAAGAGTCAGTGATCAAAAACAGCTTACAGTGAAGCAATGAACTTCTGTGAAATAACTTATTATTTCAGTGTCTGTTTAGCATAACATGTATGGGTTGTATTATAGAACTGTACTAAAAAAATACAACAATATGTGAGCAATTTATTCCTAGTGTTTTAAAGAGTTCACTCACATATGCTTTTGAGGAACCATGAAGCAATAACTGCATTGTGTTCATTTTTATTCAAAAAAGCCAAAAAAGTATTAGATACGTGTGCATATACAAAAAAGCCTGTATCTACCCATCTGTACACACACGCACGCACACATATTCATTCAGCTTGCTGAGAGATAAATGGGCATTTACCTCAACATTAGTAACCACCATYTCTCTAACGACATAGGCAATCGTACAATCTTCAGACTGGCACCTGACACGGAAGTTGCCATATTCCATTACATCTGGGGGATCAGGCCAATATTGATGACATTTGGTCTGTAAAGACAAAGCAAAATTAAGTACACATCAGGAACTGAAACAGACACTTCCCTATCCTAACTTTCCCCTTTGCTAGCTTGCTTATTTTATTCTATAGGTAATTCAAAAAGYACAAGAACAGGGATGGTTTGCTGATGAGGTCTTTGCATTCAAATTGAAAATTCATTGGACACCACWGCCTATATTTTCTATAAACTCATATTTCAGTCATTTTATTATAAAAATAAAATCGAGTACAAGACGAAAGTTTTTTCTCCACTGCTCACTGACAGCCATCTAAGAAAGCAWCTTTTTGAAGTATGACATAGGAGAACCAGGTGGAATGTTCTGTCTCGGTAAGAAAATTGCACGAGAGGAGGAAGAGGGATTTTTTAGGTCAAAGCGAAGACAGAGAGAGGCTTTTCTTGAAGGTGTACACTGGAAGGACAACTGGCAACTGATGGAAAGCGTAGAGCAAGAGACTGTGCTTAGGTACAGGAAAAACAATTTCAGTGAGGACTGGCCAAACACTGAAGCAAGCTGTCTTAAGGGGCTGTGGGATGTCCATCCATGGAAATAATCAAAACTTCACTGACATTACGCTGCACAATTTGATTAAAACTCAGGCTAGCCACRCATAGGGCAGGTAATTTGACCAGATATCTCCAGAAGTCCCTTCCTACTGTAAATTATTCTTAAATTTTGTGAAATAATGATGAATTGTCTTCTAYGGGCATGACCACTTTTGACATTATTTATAACCTTGCAGTGCAATATTTGCAGTTAAGTACTAGTTTGAAATCTCATATGAACAATCATTTCTCCCCCAAGCAAAGGAAAAAAAACACACTATCACATATAGACATTAAAAAAAGACAGAACTAGTATCCAGGCTCAGTGACATTAATGCCATTCACTTTAGTGGGTGTTTGTGTGCAAGCAACACAAGAAAGTCTTAGAATTAACCAATGTGTCCCTTCAACCATTACATGCACTTCCAGAAGTGTTAAGAAGCCAGGTGAAATGAGGTGCATCGGTGAGCGTTGACACAGGAGGGAACAAGCCTTTCTGTGAAAACCCATGACAAGCTGGTGATCCTCGACTGGTGCGTCCGTGTTCTGGCTTTACCACCCATTTATCAATCTGCTGAACAACTCTGATCATGACTGCTCAGGGAAAATACTTAATATTTATGTTCKGAAGAGGCCTTTTTAAAGAAGTTGCCCATTTTCATTTGGATGATATGTTCATGGATGGCTATTTTGAATGAGAACAGCCCTTTCGTCCAAAAGGAAAGCAGGAGAGAAAAAGGGAAGGAGAGGTTCTCATTCAACTACAAGAACATCCTTTTACTGCTTGTGACAAATGTGATCTTGGCCCAGCAGTAACGTTACAAAAGCACCACTGCTAGTTAAGGTCATTTCCCTAGTCAAACACTTTCGTCATTTATTCCATTTATTCCTCCTTAGGTAAACTCCTACTTGTTTCTTTCTTTTTTTTTTTTTTTTTCTCTCAATATCCTGCAGTGTCTGAATTTCATGTTACCCTTTTTCATTCAGAGCCATAACCCTGACAACATCAATGACCTTTTAGGATAACACTACTGCCAATCAAACCAACAAATTCACCTTGTCTTCTTTCCAGAGTTAGGGGCAGAGTCTCAACTTCTCTTCCTTCCCCGWCTCAGACCCTCAGTAGCTCAAAAGATGCAGCCTCTACAGCTTGTCTGTATGTGCAGGTTGACCAAACTCGCTCTTCTTCCACTTTCTGGAGCATTAACACTTTAAACCCAACAATCTTTCTGGTATTCACTTCTCCTCAGTGTTCTACTCAAATGGTTTGATTTGAAAAGCAGAGCAGAGTCAGTGAACACATTTCTAACTCACATGTAGTCACAAACACTGAACTGAGTATCAGAGCTCCTGGGTATCGCATTTGGGTATTTCCACTGCAGTGGAAACCTCAATCTTAGACTAATAAACAGTTTTCTGAAGTAGTCCTAAGATATCAATTGATAAGAGGTAAATGCTGCCAGACACTATGTCAACAAGAGGCAAAAAAAATAAGAATTTGTGAGTTCAGGTTCTCTCTTAGCACTACTTATTGTAATAGCCCTGAAGGAAATAAGCTGCTCAAAGCACTATGTAAAAATCTTCATAAGGGTTGCCACAAGCATCCTGCACTGGGATGAATTTTTCCTCAGGCAAGAAATTTCACTGCAGCAGGCAGATCTAGCATAGGTAAAAAGAATTTGGCATGCTGTGGATGTAGCCTCCAGTTTGAAGCTGCTGCTTTTTATGCATTTTGTCACGTTGCTTCTTAGCAACACCTCTGCTGTGCAGTGAAGACGCTGCTTTTGAATTGCACAAGGCAACCTGGTGAGCTTCCCTAGGAAGATAGTGATTAGCTTTCAAATAATGTCCAGCTTGACACAAACTTCGGAATTTTCCTCTCTTGACAACTGCTTTTAAAGGTTTTTTTGTTTGTTCATTTGTTTTTGCAGCATGCCTCTATACACACATATATATAAATATATATATATATTTATATCGCATAAAATTTGCTGACTGGTAGAGAAAAATGGTTCCTTAAATACATTAGCAGTTAGGCATTGCATGGAGCAAATAAAAACTGCCAGAATCAGAAACTGGAGATTGCAATATCTGCATGAAGTAGACCACATGCAAGGCAGCTTGTTAACCTAGTTTTAGTAAAGGAAATGATTAAAAAGAAAATTTAAGAATTTCTCCAAAATATAGTCTAAAATCACGCATCCATTTATGCAGCTTAAAAAGCTATATAAAACATGGCTTAGTTGTGCTGAATTTTTAAATAATACTTTACAAAAATAAAGTAACATAGCAGACTTGCTGAAGAAACCTTCAGTAGACCTTGCTGTTCATGAAAACATAACAGTCAGCTCTTGGTACAGATGCAGAAACACTAAAAAACATACACCAGTGGAACAGAGACTTGAAAAACGCGAGGAAAGTCCAGTGATGGAGCACCGAGGTGATTACCACATTGGAAGACTTAATGTATGAAGAAAGATTGAAGGAATTGGGTTAGTTTGCACTGGGCTTGTCAGTAATTCACTGAGCTACTAGTGCTCCAAGTGCTGTTTCTCAACTTAGTGCTACTTCTAAAGTTAAGAGTAGATAAGAGGCTTCCACAGAGCCCATGTATGGGGCATTGGCAAAAAAAAAAAAGCAAGCAGATGGGAGAACCAGCATTTCCCCCTTTTCCAACTCTGCAGCCCAACAGCTGAAGGAAAGAGTGTGATGTTTCTGTTTCAGGCTTTCCCTGGTAAATGGAAACATCATATTCCTTTCTTCAGTTGTGGGACTTCAAGAAGAGCTACTCTAGTGAGATACTAGTTCACTGAAATCTTGTCCATTGAAGCCAGCACAAGGTTACGCATCAAAGGAGCTGGCCTTTTATCCTAGTATTTTCATCTTCCCTTTCTGTGACTTTGCTCCCATAAATTATCATATTATACATAAACAAATTAATTTCCAAGTAAATGCCCATTGTACTCCCAAAAAAATAGAAATAAGAAAAAAATTTGCTGAACTAAAGGAAATGCAAGCGAATTCCATGAAAATCTTGAATCAACTCTCTGGACGCTGCACTTGAAATGAATCTGATTTTCTTTTAGGGGCCTGTGTGTGGGGGAAGGAGTGTGTGTGCATCCCCACACAACAACAGATCAGCTGAGAGAACTGTGCTCTCGACTGCCTACACACTGTAGTAATTTTTATTAGCTAATAATAAAAAATAAAAGGAAAAGAGCCCAAACCCTACCCACAGCCCCAAATTGGTATTCCAATACCAAATTGTTCATATTTTACCATTTGTTAATTTGGAGTATGCAACCACTTAATCACATTGCTTGTTGATAATTCCCATCCACACGGACCCCCCAAAAAATTCCACAAAAATAACCACATTTTGACCATTATGCCTGAAAATTTTACTAGTTATCTATATGAAATAGAGAAGTTACTTCTGCTGTGATATGCATCTTGTAATATCACATTATTGGCTATATATTTAGCTATAAAAGCTGCAGAGTTTGGAAAAAAAGATTGACATTTGGCAGTGGGATTACTCTCTCAAGAATATAAATCTTTTGCTCTTCCTGCAAATTATACCACAAACCGAAAACTGTCCAGCAAACAGAAAGCAGCAAAAGTAGACAACAGAAGGGAAAGGAAGTGTGATGTATAGATGCAAAAAGACAGAGGTTAGCAGCAAATTATCTTGAAGGTTCCCACTCACTGGCCACACTATAAAGAAGTATTGACCCACGCTTTTCCACAGCAAGAAAAGGAAATCAAGAAGCTATTTCTACTGTAATAGAGAGGAAAGGTGAGGGGATGCCAGAGGACGTTCAATAATATGCGATCCTGTGAATAACGAAGTAATCTAACCACGAGTAAAATGTGTTACTTGGCAGTTTTTATGCAGCTTAGCCCTTTTACTGAGGGATTGTATCAAGAAAAAATAGAATACAACGGACACCGCTATAATTTTCCCTGTATTATACCAAAATTAATAAAACATAAGGATTTGTGGTAACAGAATTAACAGAAATATTCAAGTAATTAACAGCGAAGAGAACCTACAACAAGCAAAATTAAGCAGGCTAAATCCTGACCATCAGCGTGCTAAAGCTAAGAGCTGTTCAAGTGCCAGACTCCAGGCTGGAGCCACACGGCAGCTCCCATGTGCTCAGGCTGCTCAGTGCTGCCAGGCACRGGTCAGCCAAGCCCCTGTGAGCCCACGTGCAACACGAAGCCCGGCTCAGAACAACTAGCTGGCCTTTTGTGGGGGTGGTTTTTAATCATAACTGGGGAAAAGCAGCTTAAAGGCAGAATAATCATTACACAAAGTATCTGAGCACACTTACCCGCCCTCGTTCAGTGAGGGTTGTTAACATAATGATCAGCGATAACTTGTGATCCCAGACTACTTGCCAGAAATGTGCACACGTGTGTGGAAGAGGCCCTTGGGTAGCAATGTACCTGTTCACAACTCCCACAGTGGGAATTTCCATCTGGAAAGAGAAAGAAAACCCCTATGTAGAGTTTGCTGTCACTAACCAAATGCTATTGTTTTATTCCGCATTTCTTTTATATGGAGAAAGTTGAGAAAGGCAAACAGTAATAAGATAAGATCATAATTTGATAAACTCTTAAAGTTACTAATTTAAAACATCAAAAAGGGTAAACTACAACTTTGTGCTTTGTGCTTGTATGCTTTTTTTTTTTTTTTTAACTTTAGAGTTCTGTGCATATCAGTATTTTCAACTCAAGTGGTCTTCAAAGTAACAAGCACAGTACAAAGACCTTAAGGTTTCCCATATCAGATATCATGAAATCTTCTCCAYCTGCACCAAATTTGGCTCTCTTCAGTGAAAAAGAAAATAAATCAAAACACCCTAGCACTCTTGCCAGCAGCTAGATGTACTGTAACCTACACRTCTTTGCTTGGTTGTAACTCTAAATACTGCTTTTGTTCCATTAAAAATAATAAGCCTTTATTTGAACTGAAATAATTTGAACTGAAATTTAGACTTTCTAGCATGAAGAAAAACAAGTGTGATATATAGAGAAACTGCCAGTGACAACTCCACTGAAAYGATCTATCCACCCACATTGTACTACTGAGTCCAATAAATTAATAGTTCATTTTCCGATTTAGGTACTTAACATATGAACCTGACACAAAAACGTATCTACGTCTCCCTATCCCTCCTCTTGTTTTATTTCCTACTTCCCAATCTATGGGATTATGGCAATCCAACCTCAGGTTTCTCATTAAGACCTTCACAGCATTGCTAATAGACTGTAAGTGATTTCAAAGGGAAAGACTATATGGTTTTGGACTATATGAGAAAAATTTGGGAATTTGCAAAATAAAGAGAAAAATCAATCTAAAGAAAGAGATATTGATCTGAACAGATTTAAAAATACGGTTTCATTCACACTTTAAAAAGATTGATTCTAAATAGTCAAAATCAGCAAACAAATTTTAACAGGTATACAAATAAACATTTAAATTAATTTTAAATACCTAAAATATATTTAAATATACAATAGAAGTCTATGGGTAAAACAACACCCTTGAAAATGTACCCAAACATGAACCACTCAATTTAGGCAAAGTCAGTAGCAGTTCTACCTTTTTGTTCTACAAGACTCTGCTTCAACATGAAAAAAAAAAACTTCCAGCAACTAAGAAAAAAGCAGAAGAGATTTAATCACCTCATTAAATTAATAATTATTGGCAACAACTAAAAAAGAGAAAGCAATCTTCCTTAATAATAACATAAAAATTTAAACATCTAAACATGTTACGCATTGTCTCAGGTTTATGTAAGCAAAACTACTAAATCCCCATCAAATTATGTGATGTAGTGTACGGAAATAAAACAAATTTTATTGCTTAAAGATCCTGTGCATATCTTAATGGATTCTACATGCTTTAATCCAGTCTGTTGGGATGGTTACTTATTTTACAAGAGAGATCTTTGGCAGTACTTAGGGTGTTAGGTTTGGGCTGGGGARGTATCCTCCCTTCCCAAATCACTTGTCAGCCCTTATCCCTTAAAAAAGCTAAGTTTAATTTGCTACTAACACAGAAACATAGCAATTGCAATTGCTATGCACATTTGCACATATGGAGGTCTCTGACTTACATTCACGTAGTTTGCATTAATGTAATCTTCATCTCCCTGTAATATTATCCTTGTGGCATCATCTGCACATAAAAAAAGAGGGAATCAAATTAACAGCTGAGGGGCATGCTTTTAAGTCAAAGACAGGAACTGCAAACACGTGAACAGCAGAGCACAAAGCAAAACAGATCACCTTTTATACGGTAAAATGAACATTTATGTAACTCTGGTTATGTAATGGAATCTTTATTCAGAAAGTTCAGAAGTTCAATACACCAGTTCTATAAAGCATCACTGAAAAGCTACAACAAAGCAAGCAGAAAGTCTGTATTTAATACTCACAAGGCAGAACATCTTTGTATCGGTTTTTGTCCATGTTCTGAGGTACCTTTGCACATGTAACAGCCAACCCTGGCTTTTTTCTATAAAGTTGCTGTAATATAGAATAAAAAAAAATTAAAAAAAGAAAACAAAAGGTAATAGTTGGGGAATACAGTTGTGCTATACAAAAACTAGAACCACAGGAAGACTGAAAAAAATTGGAAATAYGCTTTATTAAAGCTTTTCCTAATCACCTGCTAATTTCACCTCAGAATTCTTTTATTTATAACACGCAAAACATTCTATTATTGCTAGTTAGTCCATCACCATCATCTATAAATAACTTCTACGGTTAAAGAGTTTAAAAGGTTATTCCACTGTAAGGTTTACAGAGTCCTAATGCTCCAATATGACAGCTTACCACATATTTTTAAGCCTGAACAGCATAAAACAGGAAGAAGTAATGTGGTGAGAGATCTTAATAATATATATAACAACCAAACACAACCAAGCAGTTAGAATTTCAATTTACAGAGGTACATTAACATTTCTGGGAGGTGTTGGAGACACATAAGAATAATTTAGTAGTAAGATAGCAATTCTAAGCTTACATTTTTATTGTTTGGTTAAAATTCATTTGCCACAGACTGACTTAAACTCAGCCTGGGTGAAAATAAAACTGAGGAGGAAGATATTGTGGAAAACTTCGATGTATCAAAGTATACTGCCTAACTAGTTATTTTACTAATATGAGCAGAGAGYTTGGAAGTCACCACGAGTGATGAGGTGACACAGAAACACTGTCTGCTTCTGAAGAGACTAAAACTTCACTTAGAGCCAAAAGAAGAAGCCCAATAAGCTGTCACATATTTTTTCAATGTATTACTGGATACATCTAATTTTAAAATGAATTAATAACTAAGATAAGTTTAGGACTAAGGTTTAGTCCTTTTTTAAAGTTAGTGATTTTCTAGACATCCCCACCCCAAAACTGACGGTGAGGATGTGGGGTTTTTATGTTATATGATATTGTAGTTTCAAAGTGGTAGAGAGTAGAGCTGAATCCAGTAATAACAACTAAATTCACCTACAATCTCCAGAAAAAGCACATGAACAGTTAAGCTGCTGCTGTTATTCAATCACAGAAGGCAAAACATGAAAACTAATTCAAGTGTACAAGAGATGTTCAATAAATTTCATTGAATTGCACTGAATATGAATCAAACTACAAACATGACTGAYTATGGCCAAACTCATCTATTCTACCCAATAAAATAATTTTTAAAATATTAATTTAGCCAGCTTTGGGTACCTGAGCTAGCAATTTCCAAATTAAAACAAATTCTAAATAGAAAATGACTTATGCAAAACCAGTAACTTACTCTCCGCCTACCTTAAGAAATGCAAGGTCAAACTGGCGGAGAAAYCTTACATTTGCTCTCTTGGGATAAGACTCAACATAACCAATAAATATTCCAGACATGTAAGTCCTTACATTGGTTGCTGGTCACAGCTATTGGCTTTGTATCAATGGCAGAACTGAGCGTTATCTACCTACCTCAAACTGAATAAGGACTGTCCCACTTTCCAGCCCTTTCTTTAGCTGCTCCATAGACTCCTCCAGCGTGTCACCATACTCTGAGCAGTTAGGAAGGAGAGACTCTGGGAGACTTTGAGAATCAACTTCATCTTCTGATCTGGGCTCCACAAACTGTTTCACTACTGGAACATGTACAGACAATTAAGATCCCCTATAAACAGCATTAGTGAGGTTGCAACATATTTTTATTAAAGTTTATCAGACTCTGAGGACAAAGTTTACCACAAGCAGAGTAGACCACAGAATGCAAACAGCACTGACAGGTTCAAGATAACTTTTATATGGTCTAAGCGACTGTAGAAGCTACTACTAGTAACTGACCCTCATGGACTTGATGAAAATGAAATTCCTCAAGGAAGCTAACTACCAAGGCAAGAATCTGACATCCAAGCTCGAAGAATTTCTTGTTGCAGCCTAGTCTTGCTGAATTAACTGCCTGATAGGCTAAAGGGCTCACAAATACTTTTTCCCAGAGAAGTTTTAGAACATAAACTCCTGAACTTAAGAACTRAGTAGTTGATCTCTACAAAAGCCACCATCCCACTGAAGGTGTCCATCTACAAGCCTTCTCTGCAGCAATCAGAATAGCTCACACCTGCCAGATTAAAGAAAACAGGCATGAGTGGGAGCAGCTCCCTATGGAACAACTGACAAGGGGCCACAGGCTGCCTTCAGAAAACAGTAGAGACTTCTCCTACCTGCAAGTAGGTATAGAACTGGTTAGAGAAAGACCAAATACTGCRAACTGCCAGTGAGGAGGCCTTGGCATAACAGAAGCAGGAAACAGGGAAAACAGGTTCAGGGAAAACAACTTCCATCTGTCTTCCCAGAAACTATGAAATTTAAAATAAATTAAATGCTGCAGAGGAGTGTTTCCTCCTGCTTCCTAGTGATCCATCATCACGGCAGATTTCTAACTCATAGTGTAAWCAGAAATGCTGTGCAAAATCCTTCTACTGTAAGTATGTGTGTTAGGGTGTATTATAGCTCCTAGAAAGTAAATTATAAACTAGAAGTTTCACAACTTCCAAAAGCTTGTGGGTTCTGCTTACATTTAAGTGCAGAGCAAATATGAGACAGCAGGATGGGTGCCTGCAGACAAGCAGTTGAGTTGTAAGTTCCAGCTCCCTTGAGGCATCCATGCCAGTATATGCCAGTAACTAAAAAGTTAAAACAACACCCTTTGAATGAAATGTGGTGTCTACACAAAACTCCGTTTAAAATATAAAGCTTTAGGACTCTACATATATCAGAAACCACTACTTGTTTGCTGACAGCAGCTTGGCGAGTAGCCAGCACAGGTCATCAAGCTCACAGTGTCTATTATAAGAATGAAAAAGGAAACCTATTTGATTTATGTTTTACTGTATGATTGTGCTGTGGAGTATAAATCATGGGTACTTACAAAGATACAACTGCAGATTATCCTACACTTTTGAAAGAATAACTTCAAGAAATTATTTATTCCTACAGATTGTAGAGTTTAAATTAACTCTAACAGAAGTTCTACCGCTAAAACAATTTATGCTAGAAATTCAAACGTAGAGTTATCTACTTTGTAGCACAGGCCAATTCCCAGTGCACTGAGAACACATTTATGTAAACAGAAGAGGGGATATAGCGAAGCATGAGTACAGTCTCAAACACATTAAAAATAAATAAAATTAATCCAGTTACCTTTCCGCCTGACTAAAAGTGCAAGCTCCCTTGTGTGAGATTCTCTGCTGGCTTTTATAAACATTACCACCTGGTCATGCGTGTGCTCTGAGATATCTCGGCCGTTAATTAATACTATCTGATCACCTTCATTCAGTTTTGGAATGCATTTATCAGCCTGTTTCAAGACCAAAAAAGACATTAACATCACTGTATCCAGTCACATAAGGAAAAACAAATTAGGGTATCAAGTTAATCACATAAGCAAAGTTATCCTGAAAGAGCTTCACCTTCTGTATCCTAAGTTTTATCAAGAGATTCAAATCTAAAGCTGTGTTAATAGCTTTAARACCCCCAAGGAAGATGAGAAACATTTCAGACAGCATATTGATTAGCTATGGAAAGATTTTAACGAAACAGCCATCACCATGTTGCTTTTAAAGATTGTACATGTCAGATTCTGAGATTGAATAGCCAATAGTTAAACCTATTTGCAAGTGAATGTATCACAAAAGAACTTTCRGCATATAAGATAACATTTATTTAGCAAACAATCTTCCATTTTTATGCAGTAAGTACTGAAATGTAATAGCCTCAAAAGAATCATGTTTGGAAAYGGAATATAATCTACATAACGTGACATTCCCCAAACTCATTTTGGAGAACAAGTTGCCCTCCCTTCAAATTAAAACTCCTACTACTGGTACCTTCTTGTCCTGGATCAGATTAGCTCCTGATCTCAAGAGTATGTTTGGGTTTTTTTTTTTCTGTCATGCAACTGAGCATGCTTTACTGCAAGTCCAGTGCAAAGTAATTCGTGCCATGGTCAGACTTTGAGTAAGCAAGATTCTGCCATCTTTGAAGAATGCCCCMTAGGATGACCATTTCCATTGCTATCCTGATATTTTGTCTAGGAAACTCACAGCTATGCCACAGTGAYGTACTTAGACGTACACTCCACTTTACATGCTTTATATGAATAAGATCTGTTCTGTTACAGCCTGTTGTACTCTATTCATAATTGCTTCCTGTCTCTACACTAGCACAGGTTTTCTGAATTTTCTTTATTCAACCTGCTCTACYAAAAAGAAAATGTGAGGAAGGAGTTAAGATTAGCCCTCCTCTCTTGATTCTAGTTATGCCTTAGAGAAGACACGGATAGTTTCTGAGATAAGTTTATCAGTGATTTACCATATCACCAAGTAACAAGCAGAAGATGAGAGAAGTGATGACAGAACCAACAGGAGGAAAAAAGTAGGAGGGAAGACACGAAGAGCAAGTTCAATTAGGAGCTATTTGTATCAGGGAATAAAGTAAAAGAGGAAAGAAAACTTGAAATATGCATCAGTGTCAAAAAAGAGAGAAAGTAAAGAGAAAAGGGGATGTATGTAAGAGGAAAAAAAGACCAAAAACAGAAAAGCTGCTAAAAAGAACCATTAACTTCTTCTAAAGAAAGAAGATGGAGAAGTTGAAAAATGATGAAAAAAGAGAAAAAGAAATGCAAATAGAGGAAGAAGARAATTTAGAACAGCCATGATGGTCACGAACATGGTCAGGAGCTAGGTATTCACAGCTCCTCAGAAGAGCACCTACAGCACCCTGTAAAACCAAGTGCTACCATGAGTATCTGTTTGGGATATTTTCTGAAGGTAACATTAAAGAATACAACTATGACTGACTGATTTATCACTCAGATTACTGTTAGTTATATTTGAAAAGACAAGTGCTATTTAGATCGTATCAGCCATGCAGACCTTATCAAACCAGTCTGAGAGCATCAAAAARTCAACTAGACTACAAAAGGAAAGGTTCTTGGATCTCCTGTATTTGCTTTTAATTTAGATTTCCTGGCTACTTGCTAGCGCTTCTATTCTTTATTACAGGGAGAAATTAATATCTATGCTCAAAGGAACTGTGATAATCATGTGACATGCTAATGTTTTAGTCATCTCTCTTGCTTGAATCATCCAACTGTATAAAATATATCTTGAAAGGGAATTAATTCCTTCCATTTAGGCATAATTTGTAGATTTTTCAGATAACAAGATTTTCCTGACAATTATGTCAAAGGCCTCCTATCCTGCTGACACACCCCGTGTTTCATCTTATGCTAATCACTTCATTCTTGGAGCCAAGAAGCATGCACGCTATTTTTCAATCACAAGCTCTATTAATTACAGCCATGACAACTTTCTCATCACCTTAGGATATTAATATTACTTGTGAAAACAAAATCAGTATTGGATTTCCATTAAAGAATAACATATCTAACAAATGATTTTTCCTATTTACATTTATGCCCCTTTCTCTCGCCTATTTTTCCCTTCTCTGCCAACTCCCCAAATCTTTCCAGTGCTCTAGACTGCTTTGGAGAGAGACTTTGAAAAGGCTTTAGGATGTGGAAAGAAAAAACAGGCGTATTTTAGCCTGTAGATTTGTCGTATTCCCCCACTCAAAGAGACAGAAGAAGGGGGCAAAAATGACTTACAAATCCGAGAAAATTGCATTCACCAAATAGTGTTCCTGGTGGCAATTTGCAGGACAATGAGTAAACAGAATAACTTAGAAGAATAACAAATACAGGGATGGAACAGTAACACTGAGGTTCTGAGTAGCTAAAATAACATAAAAATGCATTCCACATTCCACTTAAAGTGTGGGAAAAAAATAAACTTAAAGCTATATTTCATTAAGCAGTCGAGATGAATTTTAGTTTATGGAAAACAATATAACCAAYGTTAATACTGCTGTTCTGTAAAAGTAAGCATCTATCTTTTCCATCCTTGCTGCAACATGAWGAGACTTCTACAGCACTGCTGTTGAGGGAAATGTATTAGATAGCAGCTCTCAGTTTATTTTCCTGAACTTTCCTAACTTAACTTGCTTGATGGCTTAGCAGGTTAGAGAGCTAATTGGTCACTTGAGTCTATGCCCRTGCCTACTAACTGCAGGTGCTTAAATCTGGTGCCCAAGTTAGAAGCTCAGCCACTTCCACTCCCATTGCAAAGAGGAAACCAGACTGAGCTTCTCGGATGACAATCCGAATCTGACAACAGGAAATCGCTGCCTCCRGAAGCCTTTCTTTCTTTAGCCAACTAGGGAAGGATCCTGCTTCTCTCTATGTAATCTACATCATCTCAAATTACATGTAAGAAATTAGCTAGGCTGAACTTGAGTCTCTGTCAGGACACTGGAATTTTCACTTATGATATTTTAATTATTATGATAATTTTCTATTTCTCTTCCATCCAAATAATTACGTCAAGCCACAGAAATTGGACAGAACACTTCTCAGACAGTAATTTACATCATGACATTTAGATATCATTCCTGTGACCGCTTATCAAATTTGGTAAGAGTCTGCAATATGGACAGCATACCAGATTTTCAGTATTAAGGCAGGAATATTCCTATCAAATTTGCACCAAGAGTTGGGAAATACGCTTTGAAAGAAGACTAAGGGAAAAAATAAAATAGGATAGATGATAGTCAAAATCAACAAATTTGTTACACTAATTATTCAGAAAAAAAATGAAGCTGTTCTGTCATTGTTTCACAATTAAACATAAGAATAAAAGAATGGTTGCACCCATTCAGACAAATGTTCCACTTATTTATTYATTTAATTTATCCACCAGAAATTTACCTCCAGTGGCAGCCAGAAGCAAAATAAGGAGAATACAAACAGGTATTTCTCTCCTGATTACTCTCCTGTCATATAACTGTTTTTCTTAAACTCCTAGCGTTTCCTTAATTTGATGTAGCTTGCCTACTGCCTATTGCCAGTAACCCTCCAAAGGTTTTTCTTCTAAGCATTTGTCAAGTCCTTTCCTGACCCCACAGACAGCTTTTTTTAATCGATAGCATCCTTTTAAAGAGTTTTTACATGCCTATTATCTGATATATGAAGAACCACTTCTTTTTACATATTTTCAACCTGTCTTTCACTTACTTAGATAGCCCCTCATTTTTGCACTGAAATTCCCCCACTAATCCTTTGCACAATGACCCCAATCCTGCAGATCTCTACTGTATCTCTCTTAGTTGATTTTTTTTTCCCTCTAGGCTGCAGGAGCCCAGACTATTCATTTCTTTTTTATAAACACTGCTCCATACCTTCAATCACGCCTGCTGCCTTTCTTCTAATGCTTTTCCATTCAGATGTTTTAGGGGAACACAAGAGGAGGCTTAACCAGACCATATTTATTACTGGTATCTTGTTTGGTTAACAATGCCTCATCTTTTCATTTGTGGGTTAAGAAAACAGTGATGGAACTGAATTCTAAATAGAGCAGTTCAGCTACTAACTTGTACCAGTTGAGGGTCTCCCAAGCTCCTATGTATAAAGACCTAAGAGAAAGTGGAAGGGAGTAACAAAGGAGGAGTTAAAAATGTAGGAATTTACTTACAGGTGATCCTGGAGTAATTCGTGACACCACTAATGGCATTTTTTGATCTATGCCACCCTAGAAGAACGTTGAGTAAATAATGAGTATAAATGTTTTAAAAATGGACAGTAATAGACAGTAGTAGTTTAAAATAGACAGTATTTTAAAACAAAAAAATTGGCAATTGCTTGCATCACACAAGACTCTTGCTGTGTCATTTCAGATAGAGCCAATAAGACTTAATTTTCATCAGGTATCAAGGTGCCACTTCTAAAAATTCTTGGTTTATAAGAAAGAAGCCTCTACAGGATATTGCTTTCCCCAAAGCACCACATGAAAAATGGAAAATAATATGCCAAAGCATGAAAGCTACACAAACCCTTTGAAATTAATATTGATGTTTTACCTTCAGATTAAATCCAAACTTCCCATCTTCATCTGGTGTGATACGCACTAGAAGTAAGTCTCCCTCAATAAGTTCACTCTGCAGTATATATAGAAAAAAAATTCTTAATTTTAAATAAAAGAGCAGCAAATTAGAATGAATAAGTACTTTTTTAAAAAGGAAAAAGCTACAGTTACAGAACATACTTACTGCTGCAACTTTTTTATTGCTTATTATGTTAAAAGCAAAAATATAAATCATGATTAAAGTGCTCAAAAGTCTCTTTGTCCTAATCCTGTTACCCCCAACTTTCTCATTTGATATCTTGATATTTTCAGTGTGTTGTCTTTGCTAAAAGTGACTTGAAAAGAAAAAAAAAGATGTTGTGCATAATACTTCTGAAAAACTTTTACTATGAAGACGCTGCAGCAATTATATCTTCCTAGTCTTTCCCTGTACAGGGCAGCATTAATTGCCTGAGGGAGACCAGAGTAGTTAAAACTTGGCAGCAGCTACAGGAAGGGCAGRTTAATAAGCTGCAGGCAACTACAGGGCAATTGTAGCTGGAGAAAGAGGGGAGAAATGACAGGCTACCATGAAACTAGCAGGAAGCAGCTGCTCTCCAGTCACCTCAGCATTCAAAGCAAGACTTTTAGCAGTCCTGAAAAGGAAAGTTGGAGGTAGAACTGACTTTTGCTTGCTATTGAGACATACAACAGCTTAAGCTTAAGTTAACYTGTCATCTTTCCACGTTGACAAGTAGACACAATCATTAATCATGTAAGGATTTCCCATTCCATTAAGAATTCCTCAGCAGRTGCTTCTGGAAACCTAGACTCTACGCAAACCAAGTCAACTTGCAGGCTTGTCCATCAGGTTGAATAGACAGTATCGGGTAAATCCAAATAACAAGAAACAACTTATCTTTTACGACTGTGTTAGAAATGCTCTTCTCACAATACAGTCACAAGTTATATGGGTGCACAATCTACACTTTAAAGCTACATTTAATACTAGCTTGGAGATTAAAAGAAGGCAGCTGACATACCTTATCACAGTAGTATTGACTGGAATCTTCTGTGAAGCTTGTTTTTGTAATGTTGTCATACGTTTCTAGGAACTGCTTATCCACTCCTTCCAGCAGGTAGGATCCCGAAACGTTACCAACCCCATTGGGAGACGGAGACAAGGCTTTAGGTGAGGTATGGGTCAGAGAATTCTGAGTTGCACTATTTCCCAATGCATTCCTTAAATAAATAAATAAATAAATAAATAAATAAATGTTAAAAAGGTACCAAAAAACCCAGAAACCTACAAATGTGCTGCCTACTTGAAAAAGAAGTCAGTTTTATACTTCTGATTTAACACCATCTATTGTAGTGTAAAGTAGGAAAACTGGAGGATGAGCCAAGCATATCACTTGACCAAAAAAATTTTGTCCAAAACTGGACAAAATAAAACTAGATAAGCAGAAACATTACCAGCAAAATATCTGGAGATTAGCAGTGAAAGATACTGTTGCAGTGGTAAAGGAAATCACAGTAACATGAAGGAAATGAGGTTTGAAACCCAGGAAATGGCCTTCAGTTGGCAATTGGAAGCATGAGAAAACTGGTGCAGTAATTCCACTCCAATTCTTGCAAAGCCCCAGCAAGCTCTTCTCTCCCCTTTGGGTGCAATCTCAGTATTGCCCCTCTAAAAGCAGGYTGCATGCACAAATGCCATGGTAGTAAGAATGAAGTAACAACAAAGGGTTTACTGGCAGCTAATAGCTTCTGTAGTTGACTCTGTAATTAATTTAATATACCTAACATTTTAAGATATAATCTTAAAATATAATCTTACAGATGTAAGACTAGAAGATTATATAGATATAAGATATAATCTTACATTTTCAGATATAATCTTAAAATTCAGGAAATAAAGGAAAAAATGCAAGTAAATGAATTCCTCAAATCTTAGAATTGGCTGAGYGGTCTGATGGCAATGTTGACTTTAGCTGTATGCCCACTTCTGAAGAAGAAGAAAGGCAGACCTCTGTCTAACACATTTAAAACTCCCTATTAATTGGATCAAATTCACAGATACCATTCATACTAATTTCTTCACCCTCATAYATGCTCCATAATAGATCATGAAAACGCTGCGACTGGGGAAACTGGAGTTTCACACCAATGACATAGAGCTGTGGAAAAAAAAGAGCCCTGATCACCCATATCACCCCACTGCAGACACACCTCTCAGTTGCTTGTCACCTCATCCTGCCTGGTGGTAGGGCAGGAACAGTCTGCACTGCTAATGAMAACTCAACATTGCTGTGAACTACATTTGAACCTTACAGGTATGCAGGCTCTTAGTTGTGCTTTAGAGTACGGACACAATGAATTTTCAATAAACTTCACTACTCCTAAAAACATCATCAAATTCTCATAGGGTGGAGGTATATGCAGAAATAAATCCTGTCATAAAACCTGCAAGTTTAAATATTCGTCCCTTCTCTTGCAGTAGTCTAACRTACGATTACCTATGTGAGCCTTTCTGAACAACTCCCAGTGACCACTGCCAGCTGCCAAGGAAGGARGTAACTTGGGCTTAACAAACAGGACAAGCAGTGGAGCAAGCTTTACCATAGCAAGGACTTGCTTCTTGGCGTGTAGAAATCTGAGAGCAACTAAGAAACATTCCTGAAGGGCCACAGGGCACCACACACYGTGCAAAGGTACTGGGGCATCAACACTCTGGAGGCTCAGTTTGCTATACTTACTTAGCCACGTGAATTAACTCAATTCTGCACAATTCTGCATTTATTATAGAATATACTTTTCACTGTTCAGTAGATACTGTTCGCTTGGTGCTCTCAATTTAAAAATACTTTGAAGTTATTAACAATATTTTAAATTTTCTGAATATAGTTTTAAACACTTTTGTTACAATATTATAGCTTATTCTCCAGTGTAGGAAAAAGAAATACAATTGTGACAAACTGTTTCAGTAAATGCTCTGTGGCATTAAAAAGTTAACAGATAAAATTACCAATAGATTTTAACATCATCTAACTTTTACAGAATGGAACAGCTTAAAAAATAACCTTTGTGTTAACAGTGGTTAGGGGTATAATAGGCTTTGGGCTTACCACACCATGATCCCAAGTCTTATTTTTTCAAGAAAGCTTTACCATTTTCGTTGCTTTATACATTTATTCCTGTCTTGTAACCATGCCAGACCACTATTCTGGACATACAGCTCTATGTATTTTATTACATATCTTAAAGCTAAAGATTCCATAGTAGAAAGTTTAAAGAAAACTCACTTTGGTGATTCTTGTTCAGAYGACCTGTTGAAAACCAATAAATAAACACAAATTAAAAAATTCAGAAAACTGGAAATAAACTCTAATTGAAAATGCACATGTCAAAGACGAAAGATGCACTCATAGTTGAATTTTAAAAATCACACAATCCTGTGTTGAAAGTCTGAGCCATAGCTAGGGACTTTGTGAAATGCTCGACAAAAATCCAAGTAGATCCAGCACTACCACTTTTGGCAGGAGGCCAACTGCAGCCAACACACATCTGCTGCTTGCACCTCAATATGCAGTGGTACAGTTATTTAACAAGGCACTCTACATCACCTGACAGAGTTCTAGGTGTGGATAAAAACGGCTACAGCTGTTACTGGCTCTGTATTTTACAAAAGCCCAAACATGGCAGCATCTCTATGCAGAGCTTATGGGAAACCAGCGCGCTGCGGAAGCGCAAAGCGCCAGCACTTAATCTCTCTCAGCACAGGAGCAGAACAGATGCTGACACAGAGAATGTGAGGACAGAGCAGAAGCAAAAGGGAAGTGGTAACACAGATGAGGCCAATCTAGCACAAAAAAAGCAGGGCAGTTAATTAAGGGTCTTTGCAAAGCAGCTTGGCTGATTATAATAGATTCCTAAAGCATTCGGAAACTAATGCCCACATACAGTATCTGACACTAAGAAACTCTCTTCTTGGATCATTATCCATCATCATCTAGGACAAAATGAATCCACAGAATCTTAAAAAAAAACGGTGTTTGAGAAAAACTTTTGCTTAAAAGTAGGATTGAAGGAAATATGCCTATCCTGGCCAAGTACAAACATGAAGTTTGCCAATTTAGAAGACAACTCGGAGGATACAATTTACTTTAATCACCGTCCTGTAAACCAGCTTCAGCATGGTTCAGTTCCCTTATATGTATTTTTTAGTATGAACTTCTGCCTAAGAGGCAGAAGTGCTGAACTCTGATTTCCTAAGAATTTCTGGAGTGCGTTTTTGGTTTATTATTACTATTATTCACACTAAAACTTCCTTCCTGCTGCAGTCGAGCCCTCTTGTGACTCAATTTACTCTCCCTTCCACAAGCCTCTCAAGTTTGCCCTGCCCTGCACACCTCGCAGTGCCTTTCCCGCCGCGGCTGAGCGTGCAGGGCTCCCTTAGTGATCTGCACCCCTACGCCGCCTGCCCAGCCAGGGCGCGAGAGCCCGCTGCAGCTCACACCGCAAATTCTCCCGAGGGAGAAGATTAATGTGAGACTGCTGCTTAGTCACTGACTTTTATTCAACTTGTTAAAAAAAAAAAAAAAAATCACTTTATCTTTTAAAATTCCACCCCCACCTTAGATTTGACTACAAAAGTCCAGATTTTCTAAAGTGGGAGCAGAGGGGCAGGGCAATGACATAAGCCTTACTTCCTTAGGAAGTCAGGCTAAAAATAATAAAGAAGAAAAATAAAACTTATTTTTAGTTTAAGCCAACTGATTTCCTAGTGAGGGAGAGAACAATCACACTGTACACCCTTTCTATCTTTTTGTCACAGCAGAGCTATAACACTATTAAAAAAACTCTACATGGAATTGCTCCAAATTAATCATTTTCAAAGCTCCCAGAAAACTTTTTTTACATTCCAAGTTGTGATACAATTAGATACAACTCATTCTATAATAGCCCCCTCCAATGTAGACAGAGATTTAGACAGAAAAATCAGTTGAGAGCTCTGCTCATGTCCTGTATATAAATGAAACAAATTCTCGGCTATCTCAGTAATATTTATGTGTGTAATATATCCCACACAAGTTTACAGAAATATGTAGTTAGTACTAGTTGCTGAGCGTTTATGTATTGAATTAGTGCAGTTCCATTCATGCATACTAGCTCAGAAAGAGTTACTGATTCATTACAAAATTTAAGTATAAAAAGTAACCAAAAAAAGTGGAAAACAACCAAATTCAACCCTTAAATAATGAGACGATGGAGCTCGACCTTCAAAAAGTGGTTAGCAGCGCTGCTACAACACTAGAGCTGCACAAGTTTCCACCTGCACAACTCACACAGCACTTCCAGCACTTGGCTTCTCACTGACCTCAAGGAGATCCTTGGGAGATGACCTTTTCTGGCCAAACCTTACTCCATGTTACTAACATATTCCTCTTCCTTRTTTCACAGCATGCCACAAACATCATATTTAAAATCAGTAAGACGGAACACTCACCAGACCAACCAGCCAATCTTTTCCTCAAGAAACGGAGACCTGCCTTGCAAGGAGAGCAAACTTGCCATGGTTGGGCTAACATGCAAACGCTTTCAAACTGAGGGAGCTTCTCTTGCGTTCCCCACTCTATCTAACACGGTGCCATCTCAGTCTTCCAGTCACCGGGGTTGGTCTGTCACTGCTGAGCTTCAGAATAAAGCTGTCTGCCCTGACTGTCTGCTTCTCCTGCTCCCTCAAGGCTTAAGAAAAGACCTCGCCTTCCCTGTCTGGAATATCCTACCATGGAATTCTGCTCTTCTGAGAGCTGATGAGGATGAAGTACAGCAGAGTAAAACCCCAGGAGAAAAGGGATAGCAAACAATAGAACAGTAGCAACGTCCGCCCCTCCTTCACAAACAACTGAAGGAAACATCTGCACAGTCGGGGCTTGCCCTTGGGCTCTTCTTGAGGTTCCTAAGGCTTTTTTTTTTTTTTTTTTTTTTTTTAAATCATAACACCTGCAAGGTTGTGGAGATCACGCCAAGCTTTCCGTTATCTCATCATTTACACTACCACGTAGCTAGCTAGCATCTAAGAACTAGCAATTAAGTAAAAAATACTTAAAGGAACCTCTTTGGCTGCCTTTCCATGAAATTTATACAGAGAAGGACTTCTGTTCAGCATTTCTACAACAGGAACAACTAGCATAAGGAGGCTAGGCACACTCTTTGTGCTGCATACTTATACTTACAGCTACAGTGTAGAAGAACTTGCAGGTTTCTCGTACACACCAAACTTCTCAGTTATTTTCTGCAAGTTCCAACCATGCACACCGGCAAGCTGTTGTCACCACCCATAACAGGGCTCAGCTATTCTGCATTTCCTCTATTTTTCTGTAAAAGTTTCCTGCATGTTAAAACTCTGCACTCAGCTAACTCTAACCTCAACCAGCATGCAGTGTAAGAACACCAATGGTGAGAACACCAAYGGCACCACAGTCAAGCATGTCAATACTGGCCATTTTATAATAAAAAATAAGGCATTAAACTTCTTCTGCCTTCCTATTTTTCATATGCCAAAAGCCCTGCTTTAGTTAGCAGGCAATACAGCATTTCCTATAATATAATCGCTTCAAGGAAATCAAGTCAGCTGTGTGCAGTAGCAAACAAAATAAAAACTAAATCTGGCATTTATTAAAAGATGCTTATAGGAAGGCACGAATACTTACTGTCAGAGATATAGCAGTGAAAAAAATCTTAAACTGAGCTCACTAGCATGTTTCAGATTTGAGGGCAATACGGATGCAGGGGACAAGGATAATTAAGCAACACAGAGGCCAACTCAGGCTGGTTACCCACAGAACGAAGGGAAGGAAGCATCAAGTAAGAATATCTGCTGAATTTAGCTGCATTTATTTAAAAATGGGGCAAATATAGAATGGGGCAATATAGAATGGGGTAAAGGGAAGAAGCTGACGAAGGAAGGACGAGAAAGAGCCTAACGTGCACCAGTAAGGATGAATACGCAAGCTCTAAATACTGACGGAGACACTCAAGTGCAATCACTAGGCAAGTCAACACTAATTCAGCTGTCAGTTATACTTCGAAGTTAGAAACAGAAATCAGATCACTCCTTTT